CTTACATGTACGTATGTATGTATGCTCTTTATTACAGTACAGTACAGAATCTTTGTAAACTTGGTCCACAACAACTTGGCCAATGGCCAACAACTCGAATGTAAGCCACAGCAACAAAGTGTAGTTCTGGTATTTCTGAGTTTCTTTAAGTTAACAAAGCTGATTACTGGCACATTTTTGTGTGAAGAAAAAGTCACTTGGTTGTGGTCATTCTAATAAACTGAACACCAAGCTACCATACATGTAGGATTACTTCAATTAATGCACTGTGACTAGTGAAAAAAAATACAAAACATAAGCCTTATTCTGTTTTGACTTCTAATTCAGGTGTAACTAATCTGACAGGACAAGGAGTTTATAGTTACCATGTTTACTGAAGTCTGAAAAGTAAATTGGCCTTCATCATATTTATAACAAACATGATGAACAACTTACTTTTTTCTATTAATAAAAGTCACACGAATTGAATGTAGTTTCAGAGACAAAGAGCCAGTCACTCACTCATAAACACAGGTAAAGGTTCAAAGGTCAAAAGTTGTGTTGTGTTGATATGTAAACATGGTAAACAATGCTTGGTAAAGGAGTATTCTAAATGCAGGCTGGTGAAATCAAACCTTTTCCGATAATAACATACATGTAATTCCACGCATTCGAAATAACAGTCGATGTGAACAATACATTTCCACGTAAACCTTACCGAACTAAATCAATTCTTTAAGTTTATGTATCAACGAATGTAAAGTCCTTTGTTGTCTGTAAGCTGTATAGTGAATGATAAAAAATTATCGTCTGCCTACCTGGTACGGTGGCGGTGGTCCCAATCTCTCGGAAACTCGGTCAGATTCTTCGTGAAGCAGTGAGAGATCATCGGCTGCATGCCCCGTCAGACAATTCCCCATTTTGCTTGGTTTGGAAGGAAACTAACCTGACCAATTAATTTCCTTAGTCGTAGACATACTCGGCTACAAAAGGAAACGCATCATTCTCTGGTCATTGCTGATCACTTGTTTAGGCAGCACATAAAATGGCGATATAACAATAACATTAGACCGGGCCGTAGACGGAGTGCAAGGTTTTGTTGGGGTCCATCCGCGCAAAAAGTAATCCTTTGAACATCTCGGTTCTAGCTACAGTTTATCTTATAGTCGTACAAAGTTTTCTTTATTTTCGTGTTTTAGAAACGTCTTCATTCTTAATACGGTGAAATTCGCACACTTTGGAGTTCCAAGCGGATTTAATAATAAAATGTTATTCACTCGCGGTGCAATCCCGGCTAGTCACGATGACGTCATATAATTTGTAAACACAGTGACCACACTGCAACCACAACCAAAGGAGGGCGCTGCATGCTTCACAAACCAGGGCCGTTTTCCAATAGTCAACTTCGTCTCCGTCTTAGGAGGAGGCTTCGTGTAGGAAACCAATCCTCGATTGTGGGCCTGAAGCATTTAACTTAAATTGAAGTTCTGTAATGTTTGGCTCTTCTGCATCTTGCTTGATGTTTTGTGGCACTATAACACTTACTATTGCGCTTACAACCTCACAAGCCAGGAAGTAAAAATAAATTCAAGCCTGAGACGAAGCCCTAGTCGAGTATTGGAAAACGGCCCAGCAGGCGTAACTGGGGCAAAGGTAAAGGCAAAAAAAAGTTCTAATTCAGTGTATTGGTGCGGTAAAAGGCCATAGTGCTACTGTTAGTGATGTAATGCTGACCGCAAGAATTTCCCGAAACAAAATGTAAAATTTGCCTTTGAGTATGCACACTTTTTTCTTTATCAATATTATTAGACAACTTCATCCACCAGAAAGCGAGTTTTTGCAAAATACCCAATATACATTGTAATTAGGGGGCACCCACTCATTCTTTCATGTAGGGAACCAATTAATTCCACGATTTTTCTTCGCCTATGTTAGGGAAAATCACAGTTCATCATTTTCCTTCTGACAACATGTGCACTACGGGCGTGTGAAACTCGCCCGAGCATTTGGATGTAGCGAACTGTAAATAACTTTAAGCTGGAAAAGTTAACCTTTGTCTTGAATGCCCAGGGAGCATTACTTGGACGAGTGAACTTTGAGAAGAATAGTACGTCTAGAATTAGCCTTGGTGTGTCTGCCGACAATGGGCAATTTTCCTTTATTCCAAATAATAGGTGCACCTTGTGTAAACACACGGATCACGTATTACTGGGTAAGTCCAAGGAAATGGCCTGCAAAGGAATAGGTGCATTTCATTTTCAGTAATGTCGTTACTTTACGAAGTCATAAACAACCATTATGAACACATGGAACTCATAATACATTTAGTTTTTTTTATTATAAACCCACCTGCTGTGTCAAAGGAAGCTCAATGTAAACAGACTTCGAAACCTAAAAGGAATGTTGTGACATACGTAAACCTCAAGTGTTCATTCACAATACAATAGCTCAATAGACCGTTTTCCCGTGAGAATATTTTTTGTATTAGTCAACTATGCAGCATAGCTGAATTTTTTTTCATTCTTGAATTCGAAATGAGTAATCCCTGTTTGTTCAAACTGGTTGGAGTGTTCTGGGTCAGATTATCCCTCGGGTACCAGAGTTGAGTTAAAGTAATTTCTGTTTTTGGTATCAAGGAAGTTTATTTAGAGGTGAACTTTACTCTTTATGTCAATAAAGCAAAATATCCATTGTGGGGTCACAGACGACTGGGCTTGGCAGTTGGAATGTAGTTAGGCTGCCAGTCTCCGATACAACAACCAAAGTACCGGGAAGTATTTTGTAATTTGTCCTACAAATTGGTGAATTTTTTGGAATATTACCGCGTTGTCACGGGAATAGCTTACTCGACAATCACCAATTCTGTCTTGTAGTCACTGACTGCAACTTCGTCGAATTTATCGAAGAAAGGAAAAATAGAACCACGAGTGCACAATTACTACACGCCCAATGGAGATTGACGACGTTGATTATTTGGATGATCTTTTGCGTGGGATGCAGAACAAAGTTGGAGCAACAATACCTCTGTGTCTCTTACAACCAATCTTAAGTGGATCGTCATCAGATTCTCATATGGGTGTGAACGGGTCAAGCACACCCACGGAATCAGGGGAGCGGCGACAGATGAAGCCCACCGTAGTCGATAGCACGGAGAACATGAGTTCTGATGGTGGTAATGGTCATAGCGATAATGCGCAAATTCCAGTGTCCACCTTACAGGATTTGTCACCAATTAAGCCATTCAGTTCTAGATTTCAGCGGCTGGAAGATAAATGTCAGAAACTGAAAAATGACATGGTATGAGCATAACCAAGAATTGTTGCCAATATTTATTAAACTTTTTAAGTGATCGGAGCACAGTAGTGTCGTAAAGCAATCTACTCGGTGAAATTATTCAGAGTTTGGCCCATCTTTCTCTTCTTCCTCATAAATTGCTTCTGTATCTGTCATAATGTCACACTATGGGCATTTTGTGCCCTTTTTCCCGATCAGTGGGTTACATTCGCCGCTGGAAGCTTCTGGGGAAGCCTGTGATACTAGTGCATACGGCTCAATATTTAATGGGCGCTGTTCTTACGACAGGCCTTCGGGCCAAAATTGTAGCTTGCTGGCCGTGTAAATGGCGTTTCAAGGTAAAACAGTTTTCTATTTGAAACATATTATGATATGTTGGTCAATTATTTCTCTGACAGAGTGTCTTGCGAGCAATGGATGTTGGTGTAATGAAGCAATTTATGACTATCTACGACGCTGTCGAAGAACTGCATTGGATGATTGAATCCATGGGTGATTCATGTGAATCTCTCAGCTCCTCCGTCTACGAATCCCTTGAGCAAATTCACGAGAAGTGGATGACAGAGCGCCGTCAGTGGAAGTCAACGTCCAGTCGCGATCTGTCCACTGCATGGAGGGACGATTCCAGGGTCAGCATCAATCACGTGGGGAGGTTGAACAGTATGGACAGTTGGAGGCAAGCACACAGTGACAACAGAAACCCTCGGTATCATGGTCTCAGCTTGCAAAACATTAACTGGCAATCCCCTCAGAAAGATCTAAACAACAGCTTCCCACAAATCACTTCTGGAAGGAGTAACTTCGAGAGACAGCGCCGGTCGAGCGTAGATCATCTTCCCATCACACCAACTGCCACAGAATCACCTCAGTCTTCACCTATCCGACCCAGGAAACGACGGAGTTCTTCTGGAGCATTAGAATTAGAGGTGGGTGTGGTTGAGGGAGATATAGAGGAGGAAATCCTCGAGAAACCCGCAGCGGATCAAAGGAACATCCATGTCAAGAAACCTAAATTCCTTTTCCATTCCCAAAGTTCCCCTTCGTTTGACCCACAGGAACAACCGGTCGACGTCACAGACACAGCGGTAATATGACTTAATGCAAATGACTAAACGTCAAAAAGCATGCCATTATTCATTTTGTAACAATAATGAAATTACTTTTAATTTGGGTATATAAAAGTCAATAAGTTTGTTTAAATAAACATTGAAAGGAAGGCACGTTTCTGTATATGTTTCAGGACATAAACAAAGAGAAAAGTAGAAAAGATAGTGATCAATAAAGAGACGTTAATATTATTGTGTCTCCAAATTCTACAACTCCGTAGAAATTGTCCGATTTTGACTAGAATGCCTTTAGTTCTAGATGCAAACCACCTGCTTAGATAGAAGCTTTTTAAATTAATACAAAAGGGATCAAATACGTCTTGGACTATATTAGCTTACACTGGTGAAATTTTCATTTACATTCTTCTTGCAGAAATTAATTAGTGGAAAAATAGTCAATGGTTTCCAGGGCATTGTCAGAACTTTAACAGGAAAAGATGAAGGACATGTAACGTAATAAGACCCTAATAAAGACTATTAGCTATCATTATTTAGCTTAACAACATTATATCCGTTTTGTCCTAGCTTGGATGAGAAACAAACATCAAATTTCAAAACTTTTCTCAGGTAGTTAATTGTAGTATTGTGACTTCAGTTCTATTTCGGTACGGCAATAAATATGAGCTTGGCCGCTCTTAAACAAGAGTATAAGGCAGGCTTTGGACAGTGAAAATGACCCGAACATTTTCTTCTATAATTCAGACTGAAAAAAGTTTCCTACGCATGCTATCGAGGAAAAATCTGAGACTTGGCCGTGCTTTCAATTATTGATCGTTTTAGAATTCAGTGTCTGGCATTCGTACTTTGCGGGTTCTAAGTCGTCCGCACACAGGAAAAGGATAGAGTGAGGGCGGCCTGTCAACTTAACTTAATGCAGCCATATTTTTCAGTTGGCATCCCTCGACTTTGGGGCACTCAGGACCATTTTTGTAATCGTAGCTTTATCAACTCTCCCCATGGATGGAAGCTCCCTGTAAAGCAGGGTGTTGATTATGGCCTATATTTACACAATCACCCAGTTTGTACGGGTAAACAAGCTTCTATCAATAAAAAAACAAAAACAAAAGCAAAAAAAAAAACATTGTGGGGGCAATTTTTGTGCTTGTGATCTTATAAGAAATTATCACTTCAGTAACTGCACTGTATGGAAGCGTATAGGACATGACTGGAAAAAAATGGCGCCTGCTATTTCGCCCGGGCGGATTAGTACCGGGCGAAATATCGTAATAAGGCGTTTATCGTGTCTGTGCGTGCGTTGGTATGCCCTAATAGACACTGTTACATATCCGTGCGTTCCTTGAAGAAAAAGGCTGGAACGGTGTGGTGAGGGGGTATGCAAACTCAAGAGTGTGTGGTCTGTTCATAGCGTGGCAAGGGCCGAGTCCGGTCGGTTCGGTTTCTGATGTTCACAAACAGCTCGATTTGTTGGTCGTGAGCCGGCCACTCGAACGCCGCCAACGTACAACCGGTTATTGGTGGTAGTGGAGTGGCGGCGCCCTTACACGTTCTTCAAAAATCAAAATCTCACGAGTTTTTAACTGTGTTCCTGTAAAAACTGGATGGGAAAGTGGTGTGGGATCATCTCGTTCCGAGAAAAGAGGTCTTGGGTGTGAATTCCCGCCATTTGAGTGCGACGAGAATAAAACCATTGGAGAACAGGTCGCCCGAACTCTACCACGGCGTTCATTATTAATACCTTATACAGTGCAGAAGCTGCACCCTCAAGTTGGTATACCGCCCTCACTTCGGCACTCTCCAAGGGTGCTCGGTGAACAAATTGAATAAGTTTTGCCAAGCTTCATTAGCATGAAAAGTGCCCACAGTTTCTTTCGAACAAGGGGATTGTATGGCCCCCAGTTGGTGAGAATGTGTAAATCTTTGCCAGGATCAACTCCCTGGTTCTATGGTCTTCCGTCTGGGAGCAGAATGGATGAAAAATACTGTTGAAAAATGGTCTTAAGTGCCCAAGAAAGTTGCGGGTTGCCACTCAAAAATGGTTGCAAGCAGACCTTGGAAAAATCACATTTCCGGGTGGGATGATTTGTTTTTTAGAATGATTGAAAATGTAATTGGTTGACCTACAAAAATTGAAATTGGAAGATTAGGGACCAGACAATAATTAAATTTTTGTTTCAGAAACCTCAGGGATGGCAGTAACTCAGGATGTATGTTGTTGCCAGTGAACATGCACGCCGAGTTTGCATTGTTTTTGAAACGTTGCACCCCGAAGGTAGCCCAGATGCACGGTGCCACATGCCGGTGCCACACAAAAGCGCCACAGCGCCCTCAACATAGCTAAACTATAGTCTGGTTCCCTATCCAAATACATGTATGCTTTTTCTTACGTTACTACCAGATAGCGCGGCCAAGGCCAGACTTTTTACATTCCATTCACTCACTACTATACTATACTATACCGTACTTGAATTCACTCTGCACTTTCGTACGTTGTCGCGCGTTGTCACGGACGCCGTCCATCTAGTCTAGAAAGTGCAACATTCTCCGTATATCGTCCAGTTCTTAAACGATTCTGGTGAATGTTTCAGTATTTGTAGCTGTGGAACCAGAAAGTCCAAACAAACATGTGAGTATTTGACGAAGAAAAAAGAACCAAAAATCCAATTCTCGAGGTCGGAGCATGGAGCTGGTCGGAAGTTGTTCCACATTTATTGCACTCACGTCCATGACGTCTGGGCAGAGGGGCAACTCTCCATTCACTTTGTACAGTGATTTCAAGTTTTCCTCTTTTTTGACAGCAACGTGATAAACTAAAACCTTTATAATACTGTGTGGGAAATGTTTATAGCGCATTAACAGTGAAATTTCAGCCACATTTGATATAAAAGTTGAGAATTTGAATCACTCCACTTCACTATAGTATTTTTGCCCCCTTCAATTTTAAGTGTGAAAGGTGGACTAGCCATCAATTGACCAGTCAGAGAGAAGAATCAAGAATCAGTGACTTTATACTGACCTCAAGCTCAAGAATGGTTTTTGTTAATGTAAGGCCATGGACAGGTCAGGGACCAAACCACAATCTAGCAACGACGCCAGACTATGCATACGCCGCTCGTTTGTTTTTATTTAACTATTTTTAGATCACGGTTCACAGATGACATCAATCTCTTTATCAGCCATAAACTTCAATACAAATTCCTTTGATTGATTAAATTTACAGGAAGCATGCTACCCTGGATCTAAATGAAACTTTCCTTTCATTTCGTATCTAGGCCTATAAATGTGGATCGAGGAAATTTTTCGGTCGAATTATGCATTAGATGTGTTGAATTTGGTGGGTAGACGAGTCCATTCTGCTGCTAAATACGTTTACGTGGAAAAAAATAAAGCTTTGCCAAAGTTTACTTTATGCATGAAAATGTTGCCATTATAAATCTCCATTGATTCATGGCAAATTTTATGTTTACCGAGGCGATTTTCCAAAGTAGCAATCGGAAACAATTTTGCCATAGACTCCAACAGTAATGGCAACAGTGGCCATGTTGGCTGCCGGCATTTCAAATCTTGTTATTTTCCCAGAATTGCATGGGAAAATTACATCATTATTACATGACCTGATAAAAAGGACATCATTGCCGCTTGATTGCTGCATGAACAAGTGACATAGGGAGACTAGGGAAGTCGCTAGATTGTGGTTTGGTCCCCGACCTGATGGAAGAAGGAAGACATCCTTGATGTTGTTCATTTTACTTTGGTACTGTATACATTCAGGAACCGGCCACCATCAGGCGGAGGAAGACGGCCTACAACAGGTGCAAGACCAAATAGTTCCTTGAGACAAGCTGCACCTGGAACAGCGATGAGAATGCCTCAAGGAACAGGGGTCAGCTCTTCTTTTATGTTAATTATGTTTCCCCATGCAAAAATTCTGTTTGAGTGAATTCAAATAAACCTCTTTATATGATGTGGTTACATGTACTTCTTGCCATTTTGCATGCAAAAGCCAGTTGGAGTGCGTAATCTGCTGTAAGCCACATCTGAAAGTTGTGACTTTGGGTAGCAATAAATATTGGCGCCTATAGAAGTCAGTGCAGCTAGTTTAGCGTCATCTAAGTGCCTACTGTCATCATGTACTACTTGCTACTTGTAAGAGGCCAAACAGTATGCCCTACAATGCATGCTCAGCATGTATGGTTGACTGTGTACATGATTTCACCAAACATGTTACAGGTCACTATATAAACTGGGCCATGTAATGTTTTTGTCTTGTGCAAATGCTGTCTTGAAGCACAGTCTCAGAGATTGTTTGATGTTTCTGCTTTTAGGCTCCTGGTACTGCAAGGCCTGGGACAAGGGGCGGAGTTGTAGGAGGAGTGGGAGGTAAGGTTATCTTTACCAGATTTTGAGTTTTTAAAATAGATATGAAGTTCTGCTTCCAATGTCAAATCTGAATACAGGACTACTCTTGAAGTTTTGTATTTCAAAATACTGATGGCAGCAAAACATAACATATTTTCCTTGAACACTTAACTCGTTATCACAAGAATTACGGTTGTACATCAATTAGGTGACCAAGCTTCTTTTGATTTTGTCTTAGTGCTTGATGCTAAACTTAGTGTCACTGACAGACCAACGACACAGCAAGGATTAGGAGGAATGAGAACTGGCAAAAAGGGTGAGTAGAACCTTTGAAAATAAAATAAACATTTTATTTGGATGTGAAAGGAGAGGAAATGTACAGAATCAAAGATACTTTTTGTTGATAAATTTGACGTTTGGTTTTTGCACCTTGCAGGGCCACAGCGTGTTGTCATGGACAAGTCTTACTTTCTTGGTATGCTCCGCACTAAATTGACTGAACTCCAGACAGAGAATAGTTCCCTTCAGAGAAACATCGACCAAGCTAATGAGGAAAACAACAGCTACCTGTCCTATGAAAAAAGGTCAGAGGTCAGAGATTTGGTTGAATGTTTGATGCCGAATAACTGTATTGTCCGTGCATGCATCACTTCAAGTTTTATCACAAATATCCTAATTCTCTTGATTTTGACATCAACAGAGCTGAGAGCCTAGCAAATACCGTCAAAGAGCTTCAAGGTCAGCTAGCTGACTACAACACCGTGAGTACATGAACTGAGATGCTGGAATCCATTCAACTACTCTGATGTTACATTCATGAATCAAGCAAGAGTGTAAAATGAATATATATTGCCTTGTTTGGCTCTGACTGTTACTGATTTGGACAGATTTTGAACTCACTAAGGCATGAAGGGACTGCAAGGGGCTTGCTACATTTTCTGAGATGACTTGAGTTTGATGTTTGTGGATGTGGATTTCACCAGAAGTTTAAGAAAAATGAAGGTTACTAGATTTGTGAAATACAGTTATAAACAGAAAGATCCATTTTTGGAAAAGCAGTCTGCTTGCTATCTTGAGGGACAGCAACATCCTTCATTCCAAAAAAATGTGGACATTACAACTTAGGATTAATAATACATCTAGAATTCATTGTGCTTTTTTTGTGAATGTCCTGATGTATGTAGTTGGTGGATAAACTGAATACCGACACAGCAATGGAAGAAGTCTT